GCCCGGGGGGTGGTTGCGGGCCGCTGTGCGAGACCCCCATGATCTTGGCGCTTCCTCTTCGTGCTTTCACCAGAAGGAAACCCATGGATAGAATGACAGCCTTAGTAGGGTCCGCAGGTAGCTCGCCGTTACCAGTCACTAATTGCAACACGTAACTAGTACAGGCAAATCCGATTCAGGCTAAGATTTGGAATTGATGAGTGGCGTGGTGCTACCCGCGTGAGTTATAGTGCCAGCGATTACAGAGCTCTCCAAGCATCTGCTGTGAATTAACACAGGTGAAAGACTGAGGATATTTAAGCAATTGAAACATGTAGTGCAGAATTACTGACAGCTGTTGCTTTTTTTTTTTCACGTTGTGAATTTTGGTAATATGTAAATATTTTTAATTTCTAAGTCATTCAGTTTCTTTAAAACATCCCTACTAACAAGCACTAGAAACATTAAAATTTTAATCACATATAAACATTAGAAAGCATGCAGTCCAGGTAAATAACATCACCTTTTTTATTAATTGCTCATACTTAATTTGATTTTGATATAAAGCATTTATCAGTAATACTGATGTAAGATATTGACTGATAATTCTATTATTTATCATCTAATTGAAAGAAATATCTGAAGACATGAAAAAATAGTGATTCATTAAGTATCTACCACTGCGATTCGTAACGGCATGAAAAGCATGGTAACAGTATAAATTGTTGCAGAGAATGGTAATGTATGTCGTTATTGGACAAAGTTATTTTTGCATGTGTAACCTCCATCGTATGCATGCAAGTCAGTGACTGGGAACAAACGTGGAAAACGTGCCTCTTCTCCCTCCTACATGGGAGGCAGCTCTGCTGCTGGCTAGTTTGACATTCTGTTTGACTTTAAGCACAGTTCTAGTTAAAAAGTGTTTCCTTCTAATTTGGCAAGCTAATGCAACCAAATCAGCTGATGATTCCAAATTAAGATTAAAAAAGGGAGCCAAATTTAGACTAAAAAGCAGATTGGATCAAGGATAAATTAAAATCTGTATCCTTGTGGTCTGAGGAAGGGTATCAGCATTGTTTGGAGGCGGGTAAACATTTCTTGATGTGATAACATTGATTTTAGTGCACTTAAACATTTTTAATTTGCTAGTTCCTTCAAGTTCACTGGGAGAGAAAATCTTCTCTCTAACATCACAGACATGACTGGAAAAAAAATAGAGAGAGAGATGGAGGAGAGACCTGTTTTCATAGAAGCGTGACAACAAGATCTGATTTAGAAGATGATCTGTCTAGTGGTGACAACAGAAAGTGTGAGATAGAACAAATGGGCTTTGTCCTTTCTGCTGAAGGCCTTGAGGAGGTCCCCAATGCTCCACACTGTCTGTTTGCAAAGTCATAAGGCACCACTTATTTGGGTTTTCCAGATCCAAGGAATGCCCTATGGAAACTGTCTACTTGTCAGCGACGGTCCCATCAATAACAGCACGGGAATCCCTTTCTTTTATGTGACACCAAAGGATAAGACTGTGGCAGATCTGCTGAAGAATCCTGTAGCTTCTCTGACCCTGCCAGAGGTGGACGGCAATTTCTGCAGGTAGCTGAATTTTGTTTGTATAATACTCCCTTCAGCAAGAAAAAAACACAATCCTCAGGATAAATCCATGATAGCTTTATGCTGGGCCCCAAACCTTCAATGTCCCACTTGTGCTCTTGGCTCTCACCATCAGCTATAACCTCTTCTTTAGGTTTATTTTGCAGCAAATTGCTACAGTATATCTTAAAGAGAATCAGGAGCTTTATTTAGGTGTTCTGTAGCATCAAAAGTTGTGGAGACTTTCAAATTGCTTATTAGCAAACTTAAATTTAAGTCTCTCCTGGAAGTTTCTACATGAAGTATATATATTTTTTGAACCCCGAGGGCTACTGAAGTCACCATGAAGTAGACACCCTTGGCCTGCTCTTGAGGCTTGTTGTTTGCATTGACTAGTTCTCTGTGAACTATGATGGGATCCTAAACTCTTAGTTCACAAGTTATGCACAGGACCATGCCACACAGCTGAATTTCCATCTTTTCCAGGGCATACAAGTAAGTGTGATATCATCACAAATTTTGAGTATATCATAAACCTTCCAAATGTTCCCCCACAAAAAGAAAGCCAGGTTTGAGATTTACTGATCCAGCTGATCCTGGTCTTGTCTCTTCACAAATAGTGTTGAGTTCAGTTCTTTCTTCCTAGTAGCGTGCATAATTCTAGTTCACTGATGGTTTGCATATGTAAAATGTATGCATGGAAACTCAGAAATGATACAATTCTCCCTTGCATACTTGTCTCCTTGAAAAAGACCTATCTGTGCCATATGTTTGTTTACAGTCAAACCATGTGACAAGCGTGGCTGGGTTAGCCTTGTGTGAAGTGTTATTTCCAGAGGCCTCTTTACGTGACGAGGTATGTGGTGACGCTGAGATTGTGTCAGACAGGACAGATCTTCCAAGGAAGATCTTCCACACTGATATTCCAAGGAAACAGAAAAAAAGGGAAATTTCAGGCTGCCTCAGAAAGAAATGAATTTAAAAGGAAAGCTTTAACTCTGTTTTAATCAGTTCTTTCTTAAAAGACTAACAGAACTGATTCCTGTTTTTTCATTCAGTCAAATAACAAACTGAATATCTAGACCAAGTGCTTACAAATACATGATAAGTTCTGTGTCCTAGCACTTGTGTAGCTGCCCTGTTTTCAGAGGCTCTAGATGCAGAGCAGCTTCCATTGATGATAACTGCTGGTGATGAGCACTTCAGAAAATTACACTCATTTAGACACTCAAGTGTGGCCTTTTATCCCTGACTTTAAACATCCACTTTTGACAGTCTTTGCCTTTTATGATTTAGCAACAGCAACAACACTGCATGATTCACCTGTTTGGGAAGTGCTAATTCACCCAAAAATCTATTCATGATTTATAGAAATATAAAAGTCACATACATCACAAACCCATCAAGAATATTTATTCACTGGCTTCCTAAAAAGCAACCATTAATTTCCAAAATTAAGCACTATCTTTTGGGTTTATGTCCCAGAAATTACTGTTTGTACTGTAGCCAGGGCAACCTAAATTTTGCCACACGATTCTTTAGTTCCTTCAGCATCCTGACATGGAATTATATGGCAAGAAATGCTCTCTGGACACTACTAGTAAGCTAAGCTTGTATTTCCATGACAGTTTAGGGCAAACTAGTTACCAGTTTCTGCATCCTCCTTCTCCCTCCCCATATCTGGTAGGTCACAGGGTCCCCCCCATCTCTCTTGCATCAACTTTCATGTTTTGCGTGACCCTAAATAAAGCATAAATCAGAAGAAATTTAGCTCAACAATGTAAATAAAGTTTTCTGCTGGTTCTCCTTCATTTTTTCCTGCTCCTGGAGGTGGAGCTGCTTAGCTCAGTAACCCAGCAGATACCTCTTTCCTTTTTTTTTTTTTTATGGATTAGAACAGCATAAGTACAAAGGAGAAGGGAAGGGAGAAGGTGGAGGAGAATGAGACATTCCCAGTTCAGTATATAACCATAAGGCTATTGAATTGAAAAACTATTGAATTGAATACAAAGACCAACACTTTAGTCAGTCCTTGCATTATTTATTTTATTGTCGTGTTCATGTTGTTTATCTTGACTTCTAGAATTCCCATCTGCAACAGTTGATGGTATTAGCACAAAGAACAAGCAGTACAGAAAATGGAAAATAGGGGCAGTTGTTGAGCTGCAGTTTGAGTTTTCGATAGGTAGAAAAATGTGAAAAGGTTTTGTGATTGTCTTGCAGTCAGGAACCAGGGAAGACATGAGGACTGGGAGAATTTAATCTTCCCCTGGTGAGCAGGGTCAGAATTTACCTTTTGAACTGCTCTCTGATTAAAATTGTGGCATGCAAATAGTATGTAACAACCTTAGTGCAGTATGTATGTGGTGGCTTAATTTTTGTATAGCACGCTATATATGGGGCAAAATCTTTTTGTCTAAAGTACCTCCGATTCTGCTTGGTGTTAAAGCAGCATCTATGAGATTTCCTTTTCAAAGGAAAATGTCATTTGTAGGTAGTTTTACTACCGTAAATTCTCTGGTCAAGGCATCGTTGATTGTTTTGACTTCAGAATCAGCTAAATTAATAATGCTGTAGGTGAGTAAGTTCATGCCCTTGTGTGCAAACGATGAATTTAGCTCTAGGGTTTATTTTCATGTAAAATTTCATTAGAATTTCATTATGTATCTGCTCTGAGATTTAAGAATTAAAATAAATGTGAAAGCTACTTGATGCTTGTAGACAATGCTCATGGGAGAATTCAGCACTCTGCTGAAAACTGTTCTAGACAAAAGAAACCTCTGGCCTTTACAAATAAAACATAGGTGACATTTCAATAGTCTTGTGTCTAATGAGTATTGAGTGACTTGTGTGCTTGCATATCAGTTTGTTACTAAATTTAGTTAGTAGTAAATTTTCATTTGTTTTTGTTTCAGAACATATTCAAGTTTCAAAGCTTGACAATGTTCTCACTTTTGGAGAAGTGAGGAATAGAGTGGTCTTTCTGGTTTTCCGGTGTTAATATTTAACCAACTGAAAATAAAATTTGAAAAGCCTAAGCGAATAAGAAAAATAATATTTAATAATGAAAAACAGAGAGCTACGATGTGTTTCAGTGGGCAGTAATTACATCACATTTTAATGTTGCAGTTATAGTCTGGATTCCTCATCTCTGACCTAGAGATTTACATTTCCCAAAGGATAACAAGCTTCACTTTTGGAACCTTCTCTGATGGTCAGCCTAAAGAAAGCATTAGTTAATAACTACTAACACTGAATTTTATTTTTAGGCTAATAAATGGATAATAGAGGAGAGAAGACTTAAATGGTTCAAGGAAAAAAATAGACAAAGCTGGCAAGTCTATTCCACAGAAAAGCTGAAAAGATTGAGTCCTATTTGTACAGATTTCACAGGGAACAAGACTGAGCCCTACATTGAAGAATAGAGCAGCTATTGTTCTAAATGAATGTCCCAACCCACAAGCTGTTCAGATGATCTCTTTTTCCAAATAAGCTGCTGGGCCTGCCTCATTACATCTGGGTCTGGAAAACAGGCAATTAATTTTAAGCATTGAGTTGTCTCCTTGACATCAGGTTCAGCACCTTCATGGAGACCACATGCAGCTTTTGTAGAGAAGTAACAGTTCAACGGATACTACAAACTGAGAAACACGAGGGAAAAAGAAAGAAAAGCAACATACTTTGGAGTCAGTCCATAGGTGGTTTTCCTTTGCTATTAATTTGGAGATTGTTTCTGGTTTGCACTGCAGACTGTGATATTCTGAGTGATTGACATACCCCTATTTGGGAATTCCTATTCCTGCACCTGGGATAGGAAAGGTGCTTCCTTCAGAGCCATTTTACCTAGCTGTTCCATCACTGCTTCAGGCATCAGGTCAAAGTGACCGACAGAACTGCCATGGGTCACAGGCACAACCTTCGAGGTGCCAGCTGGCCACCCGAATTTTGTCTACCTCTGTGATTATGTAGTCGATGTTAATACAAGGCATTACACTGCCAAGCAAAGGAAAATTACATGTTCAGAAGAGAAATGCATCTGCTAGAGAAGAATTTGCCCTGAAGTCTGGACATCCAAACATCTCTCAATTTTTAGGAAGTTGAGGCTGATCTCCTAGTTCTGTGGCACAGACACCTCTCTATCTCTGCCATTTATACTGGCCTTCTTTAGTCATATGAAAATAATGATGTCAGTAGCCTTTCCTGAAAAATCTGTATTTAAAAAATCAGGAAATACCAAATTAGAAAGTTAAACATGAAACCTACTATCATCATAGCCCAGTGCATACAATATAGCTCTAAATTACTGTTTTGTTTTTTTTCTCTACTAGCTTTACAAAATCCCTGTCTGGTACACCAGGATGTGTTTCTTTGTCTGCTTTTACTGAAATAATTGATGTTGTGATTCTTTTTTTCTGTGAATTGTCTACTGTTAAACTATATAAAACTTTCCTGGCTTAGACATATAGTTCAGCCAAAGAAATGGGTTGTTGTCAACAAAGTCAGACAAACAAACTGACGTAAATTATATCTGTCTATATATGTGTGTGTGTAAAATAAAATAGTCTAGGAAGGATTATCTTCTAGGAAGAGTGACGTGATTTAAAACATTAAAATAGGTATACTCTGAATACAGGCACTTATATGCAAAAAAAAACCCCAATATTTTAACAGTATTCATTACTACCAAGCATCACTTGGATTCAGAATGGAAGACTGCACTACTGAAAGCAAAGATGACTTTTAACTATCTTTGTTGGATCTCGAACATGACTGATTGATAAAGAAAGTGATTCCTGTTAAAACTCAAAAGAAGACAGTGCAAAACTGCCTTGCTCTCTAGCCTGCCATATCCATCTGAGGGCCAGCAGCAGCTTTTCTGATTATGAAATGGCTTTCAGCAGGGATTTCATTTGATATTCATGCCATACAGATTAGTAACACTAATACAGTGTTTCTGCTTCAGAGCCTTCATTAGTTAATGATAAGCAAAGGGAATGTATAAAGAGGATAATTTCTGCTTTTCAAAATGTACAATCGAAATCATATACACGATATGGTGATTTTTCCAGGACATTACACTTCCTCTATTTATTTCTGTACGTTTTTTTTAGTATGATGATGCATCATATATTTTCAAGCTAGCAAAGACCTATGAGTCTTCACCTCATGCCCCATTTGAAGCTAGGCAAACAGGAACTCTGTGTGGGTCATTGCGCTGCTGACCTCGCATCCCAGGGAGGTGGCAGGGAACAGCTGTTCCTCCCATCCTCACCTCCTCATTGCATCGTTTGTGTGGCTGCTGCTACCCTGAAGCAGACGTTTATGCGTGTGGAGCAAAATCCATCGCTGCCCTGACTATGCCACACGTGAGGCATGTGCTCTGCAATGGCAGGAGGAGGAAACTGCTCTCCAGGAGGAAACTGCTCTTTCAACTTGGCTCGCCAATTCCGGAGAGAACATTACTGATCCCTCCCACCTTCTTCCTACTGATTCTTTATTGGAAACACTTCACCCTCCTTCCCAAATACCTATCCTTTGCCTTCACTGCACTGCAGCCTTGCTAGCAGACTGCTGAGAATGGAAACAACACTATACGAATACTCCTGGTCAGCAAGCAGGAGGGAGAGAATCAAAGCAGGGATATCAATGAGGAAAGAGAATCCTAAATAACAGCATCGTCACCTTGTGTGCCAGAACTGCCGTATCAGCTTGAGCCATGGTGTCAAGAGATCTGGGCATGGCTAGTTTTCCCTTTGAGAATCCTCTAATTAGGCTAATGTAGTAAATATTTTAATGAGTAGGTGGCACTCTGCTCCCAACACCTTTGAACCATGACCCAGAAAGGGCGGAAGCCGCCCGCAGTGAAATAAGAGGCAGATGTTCAGCAGCAACGTGCTTCAGTGCATTGCATAACTGTTGGGAAACATATTTAACTTGGACATGGGCTTCTCCATAAGCCCAGAAAAGCTGAGACTTTCACCAGAGACCGCTTTCTACAGAGTAGTTTGGTGAGACTGAACCCTGCTCGTTCTCTAATCTCACCTACTCAGAATGGGCAACAGAGGCAAACGCTGCCCCATTTGCTCACTGTAAGCAGAACAGCAGAGACAAACAGTTCTTCCCTGTCCTCACATCAGATTAATAATTAAGATAATCTCTTTTAATGCACTTTTATGCATACTTACAAAATGCATAAACTGAATGATCTTCCATTTTAATCTGGCTTCCTTTAATTTCTTCCACAAGGTAGACATATTTTACATAAGCATAAATAAGTAAATGTGTTCTCTATTGATTTGTCTCCTTCCACAGTTTCCTGCTTTCTTTTTCCCCCGGTTTATATTTTATCATAGCCTCCATGAAATCTTCTCCAATGACACCAAGGACTAGATCCTCAGCTCTGATAAATACAAGGCCTATGAAAGCACCTACGGCTTCTCAGCTACACAGGCTGGATAACCATCACACTGCTTCTTCTTGGGAACTCTGCTTCCCTCAATCCCTCCCATCAGTAATGCACAGATGTTACATAAAGCCATTTCTACGTATGTTCTTGCTCTTGTGCCAGCAAAGATAAAAGGGCCGCAAGGACCGAGAGCTGAATATGCATTTATTCATACAGAAAGTAAGAAATATCTGGTGAATGCATAACTAGACCTCTGCAGGTTTATCCTTAGTATCTATTGTTCAGCTTTAGTAAAAGTAGGAGATCTATTACTGGCTATATCCCTTTATTCCTAGGAAACAAAGCCTGCACTTACATAATTTCAGCAGTAATACCACAGAAAATTCACAACAGAGCTAGAGGTGGTAGCTGTAATTTCTGTGATTTTTAATGATTAAGAAAGTATAAAAATAATTACAGGTTATGAGGGAAATGCTATGCCAAAAGTGATGAAGAGCCAGATTTCCTTCAGAACACGAACAAATCATTTGATAAAGAAAATACTAATGTCAGTGTAAGACTAGAATACAAGGTTACCATTCTGAAATGGAAAACCTATAAGAGGCAGTACTAAAAGCAAAACAAAGCAAGTAATAACCTGGCATACTAAATTCAAATGTATCATTGTCCCTATTCAGCTCTTCCAAAAACTTTGTCAAACGTAATTGTAAAAAATAATGTGTTTGACTGGTTTCCCTGAAAGGCAAACTTCTGACCCTGCAGAATGTTATTCCAATGTGTAGCGTTCAGTTTAAATAACTCTTACTAGGAATTATTGTATTTTACTTTTGTGTGTCAATCAATGCAACACACAAAGTCTAGAGGAAAGAGCATAGAGAAAGCTGAAAAGAAAATAAGACATGAAAACATTTTATATAAAGGTATACAGTACTGGGGTTCTGATGTCAGCTAAATGTGCAGAAAGTAGTTTTTCCTGTAAATCAGTGAAAAGTCAAAGTCTTATCTGACACTCCCAACCCTAGGCAAAGGGTGCCTAAGGACAGCAACATCATGTCTGTTGCCTGCTCAAAACTGGCAAGTACGTGCACTTTTAGAATAAATGAGTATTTACAAAGAAATGTTAAATCATTGTCAATTTTGTAATTTGAGAAGGTATCAGACCAAAGTCTCTCAGTGTTCATCATTACACCCAAATTTAATATCTTGATCGATGTGCTATAGACATCCTCACTAACAATTCTTTTATAATTCCTATCTGAAAATAATTAACATCTAATTAACATCTGGGAGCTATACCAAACAGAAGTGCTTGCAACTATTTCCATTTTTCCCAGTTGTTCTGTTGTTTTTCAGGACTGTTAGGCTCCATTGCAAAGGATGCTTACTAGTTTAAATTAAATTTCAAAAGTGAAATTTTGCTTGTAAGAAGTGCCTTTCACTCATTTTTAAGAATTACCAAGTTAGATATACATATGTATGTGAGCTGTGTTGCTACGGAACAACGATTAAGTACCAAACGTAACAGTAGATCAGGAAATCCCTTCAAATGGGCTTTATGACTTTTCTGTACAGGGCCAATAGTGTCCAGGAGGGTGAATTTACACTGCTCCAGATGCTGGACATTCCGGCCCTGATCTCCCATTCTGTAAGTGGGCTTTGTGCCTCTTCCTTTTCCCTTTTTTGGCTGTGTACACTGTGTTCATCCATGCTGTAGGTGAGCTGATTGCCATTTAAAGTGCTTTTCAGCGAGAAGCCTATCCCACTTCCAAACTGTTAGATCAGTTCCATGCACAGATTCTGCAGCGTGCCAAGGTGACTACGAAGACAATTTCATACTCTGAATATACATGCCTAGAATTAAATACAGAGCTGGGACATGGAATGCAGATTTTCAGGTACTTAAACCACCATATATTAGTTCATATTTCAAAAATGTACTGGAAAAGTAATCTTGAGCATTATTTATTAATGTGAAGAAAAAGCTTGAGCTGGGTCCTTGGCTGAAGTCCTTCTTTCCATGCAGAAATTGAGGTAGAGGAAAAAGAGTAGGAGTGGAGTTTGCCCAGACATCATCCAGCTGAACAGTTTCAGAGAACTGCTGCTCCAAACCAGTCAGGACGCTCAGGAAATGTGAGTGCAAATGGCTCTTCTGAGCGCAGGCTGCAAACTGTGCCAAGTGCTTATTGGGCATAGATAAGTATCAGCCCGTTATGTTTTCTGGCATATTTCTGCTCATGGTCCTATGTATAAAAGAAGGCTTTTTATCCAGTAAGTTACATGGTCTCTGCTAACCATCTGCGGGGAATCTGCAGGTGTTAAAGTAGCAGGAGAATGCCCGTATGTTTCCTGAACGCCGTAGACATGCACTGAGAATTATGAGGAAAAAAACGCATTGCAGATTGCACATACAGTGAAGGTTAAAGGGTTAAAACCAAGATCTTTAAATAAAATTGCACACAGATTAGATTTGATTTGCTGTGCTCTGGTGCTTCAGACTAAAGCAGAGAAAACAAGAAACGCAATCTTCGTTTCCTAATGTGATTCTTGGAGCTTATGTTCTTATGTGGGGGACAGCCCTGTGGGAGGCTTGGGGGCAGCTCAGCACTCTCAGGGCCAGGATTTCGTGGTCATTCCCTGCAACTCTCCTTTTTGCTCTTGGTCAAGTTACTCATAGTCAGTCAGCAGTTGCCCCATATATTTATGGGATATATCTAAACACTATTATTATGCAGAAAGATCAAAAAAAATAGCTAATACTTCTCCATTCTTGGTTTGAAGGATGGAGATATTTCAAGGGTCTTTTAAAATTGATTTTATGCATCTGTTTGTAAAAAGAATCTGATACAAAGCAATCAGCAAGGTACAAGTAAGCAGGGATTAAGCCTGTCACTAGGAAGAGACCTTGTATTTTATACTCGCAAATATACATATGCACACTTATTTTTTAGGTTTAGGTCCAAACTAACCATTTCACTAACACTCTTCAGAAACCTGACTACAGTTTTAAAGAAGATAAATGAAGATCAAACAAATCTCTACAATAGACGTCTTCTTTAGGTGAGTATTCCTTCTAGAATAGCACCCAATGCTATTATTGAACATAGAAAAAAACTGAAAGTCTGACAAAATATTGCAGCTATGTATATGTGAGAATCAGTTCACATTCATATTTCTCAAAAACTCCTGGCAATAAAATGCAAGTTATGATACATGAGCATTTTTCTCTGTGCACAGAAAAAATGTAATTGATCCCGAGGACCCGAGGTGCACCAGGCTGACTCTCACAGGACAGATGGTCACCGTGCCTCCCGAGGAAGTGGAGTTTGCCAAGCAAGCAATGTTTTCTCGGTCTGTATGTAATACGTGGGTAGTATAACACAACCTGCTGTTTTGAAACAAATACATAGACATAGCTATTCAGGGCTGAAAATTTGAATGAAGTAATGAATCTGGCCTTTATTTGGAGGCCATAAAGATAGTTTGACTGCTGTGTTTCTTACATGACATGCAGAGCTTTAGAGCATCCTTTTAACTTCTGGGGTAATGAAATGTGTAAGTACCATTAGTAAAAATTAGACTCCAGTAGTACGTATCATTTATAATCTGGGGATTAGGAAAGCACTTTACGCAGCTTTGAGGAGAGTTTCCCAATTACAAGGTGTATTTGTTCAGTGTGACACCAGGTTTAATGCTTCTCCCCCACTTTAGGGTCAGCTAGGACTTTTAAGACACAGCCTAATAAGATACAGTGAAGAGCTTTGAGGCTCTTGGGTTCACACCTTTCTGTGCAGTGGAGCCCCACGATGGTCCTCGGTGATGCCCCCTGAGCCTAATGGTCTATGTCAAGTACAACAAGATCATGGGCCATCTGCTTCCCATCTTCTGGAAATGGTTTGCAGGCTGAGAAGGAACAATTTGTTCCATGAGCTGCAAATCTTCACACTTTCAAATGAGCCACGTTGGAATAAGCACACTTAGAATCTTGCTCTTACTGGTTTTTAGTTACTTATAGACCAAACAATGTCAGCCTTTGGAGATGAAAGTTGCAAGGGAGTAGGGTGGTGGTCTTTGGCTGCCTTAGTTGTATTTCTTGCCACATTAAGGTATGGAGCATTATAAACTTCATTACAAGAAAAGAAAAAAGAAAGATGAATGGTGGTGATGGTCATATCTCAGGTTTCGGTCTGGCTGAGTGCACTAGGTTGTAGGAAAACAGTGGACTATGCATATGCTTTGGCATATCTTTCCCCTTTTTCTTTTTTCTTTTTGGTCTTTCCAGGCACCCAGTGATAAGAAAGTGGCCTCGTAACTATGAGTGGTTCTTCTTGAAAATGAACATTGAACACATTTGGCTTCAAAGCTGGTATGGAGAAGTTTCTACCATTACAGTAGAAGAGTATTTAAAAGCAATTCCAAGTAAAGCATGATCAAATGGGCTTTGAAACACAGGTCTTTTGAGTTTCCTTTCCAAACAATTTCATGCTGGATGTTTTATTTACAGTGATTTTTTTTTCAAAAGTATTCAAAATAGCCCTGTCTTACATGGAACAGAGTGAAAATAAACCAGTGTAGACTTTGAAATAATGAAGAAGAGGTGAATACTAACCCTAACCTGCAAAGTACGAATATGTCACGTTCAAGCATCTTGAACATCACTTAAAAAGATTTTGTGTCTGTTTGTTTTGACTTTTATTGCTGCACACCCACATGGAAATTGTAGCATGTGCTAAATATAATGTTCTGATTTACGAAAAAGTGAATTGCCTATTCAAAACATTCTGTATATTGCGGAAATATTATTGATGCTTACTCCCTTGTGTTTTGTAGGCATTCTAAGCTAAATCTAATAGCTACCAGTTTAGATATTTGAGTTAAAATATTTTAATAAAGGTGTCCTCATTTGCTAGCTTATATTTTGTACATGTACTTTTCCATCTAAGTGAATATTTAATTGGAAAATTGAGAGACTGGTGGTAGAACAACCACTTCCCATCACGGCCTTGGTAGAAAAATCTGCAAGCCACCCGACTAGCGCAGCTTTGGTACAACCTGTCTCCTGCTGACACAAAGCTGGTTAAACGTGGTAAGGTCCAAACAACAAATCAGCCCCACAAGGATTATCCCAATACAAGCACAAACATTATTGTAATAAACAAATAAATAAATGCTCTCAGCTAGCCTGTTGTAGATTATGAGACAGGAAAAGTAGTTTTCATAGTTTACAGTCCCAAGTTTTTACTTCCTATCTCCAGCTACTATTTTATTTTTAACTCATTTGCACAACTGACTTTTGTAAAGCATCACTAACTCATTTAAAGGGTGCAGCTAGGCTCTTAAATCTGTTTTCTCACTAAGTTTAAAGGGATCCTCCTGAATTTTTTAAAGAAGCCTAATGATAGTTAGATATTTCAGTCCATCAAAAACTCGCTTTCCTAGGGCCGACAGTGCAAACTTCATTGCCAACACATTATGTATTGGCACTTTTCATTATAATATTAAGATGGTTCAGAGGTCTTTTATTAGTCTTCAGCTCTTTCGGTAGATGATTTATTCTGTAGCTTCTCAGGGTATCCCAGTTAAAAAAGGGCCCATGGATAATTGTCCAATCTAAATTATACAATTTCCTCCCTCTAGAATTCAAAGCAAGGCAAATCTAGATGGGTTTTGTGTGCCTGGCGGGAAATGCACAAGTCTTTCCATATCGCTGGGAGGAAGGGGGAGCTCTTGCTAGTACCCCATGCCAGGGCAACAGGCTCTTTTAACTACCAGGGGTCACTCAGACCTCGGGCTCCAGGCATTGCTGCAGTTAATACTCTAATACTCTCTAAGAACTGGAATATCACTGGTGATGGGGAAATGTTTGCTTGGACACTTGCTAAGCCTGTTTTGTCTTGTCTCTCTTCCGGTGAGCCTGTTAACAGCGCTGATCTTCTGTAGAGGTAACCACACAGAAAGAGGAAGTGTTGTGCCCAAATGTGGTTCCTTTGTTCTCTTGTCAGCATTTTCTCATATGAGTTTGCCCCCCAAAATTGTAGCACAGCAAAACAGCTGATCCTATATCACTTTATAAAATACCAGTAAGTGAAATCCTCCTGGATTCTTGATATTTTACCATGGAGATCTTTGTCCACTGTGGATTTGATTCTGTCCCCATTAAGGTTAATGGGACTTTTGCAATAGGTAGAGTACTAGACCCAATAAAAGCATCTCCACAGGTCTGAAGTACAAATTTATGTGCAAGTTTAATTACATGTTATCCTAGTTCACTGTTGTTCCCAGAGAAACCTGGAATGTTCATATTCTTCTTCTCTTCACACAAACATGCTTAATGTTTAAACAAGCTGAAGAAGGGAATAACATTTTTAGAAATGTGCTTACGGCTAAACTGTCATTTTCACTCACATATCTGGATAGTCTGGAAACAATGATATGGCCCTACCAGCTAGTATCCATTACTTAATAGCACTCTGGCCTTAAAATAGTAAGGGTCGGTATTAACAATAGCTAGTAGAGCTTTAACCATTTAAGGAGTTGATGTGCACTAAGAAAGGCCCGGAATTTGCAATACACTATTTGCTGCCTGCTCTCTGCCCACGTGGTTAGATTAATTGTAGATTAATTTCTGCATTATAAAGTGACACATCAGTAAACAAGCTCATGCTATGTGGATGAGCCTTTGAGACTCTTGACAGAACCTCAAAACATGAAACAGCAGGAACATGTAAAGCGGCAGAGGGGGCTTTGTAAAAAAATGTTATCTTAAATCACCTGTTTTCATCTTGCGTTTTTTTCTCCAGAAGAATAGTTTCCATGAAAGCCCTTGAAAGTCTGTAAAAATCCATTAAAAAGATACCCTGCAGGCTTTAAATGGAATTTTCTGCAGAAAAAAAAAAAAGGGGTGGGGAGAGAGGAGATGGACCCTAGTTTGTTTAATTGGACTTTACGCTGTTAATTATGTACTACTTACTTACAATTTTTCTTTAAACTGACAAATGTCGCAAGTGATGCTGGTCATCGCATAGAAAGTGATGCTTGTTAAAGCTTTTAATCCAAAGATTATTATTAAGATCCATAATAAGATCATATTTTCTTGAGACTGTAATGGGTCTGATCTTGCTTTAACTCAAGTCAATAGCAAAATCCTATTTATTTGTTGTACTTTAATTATTAGATCAAATAGACCTTTTATGAAAGACTTTGTAAGCCTTTATGAATTTGTAACACATTGCAAATAGCTGATTTTTATTTTGTATTCTTTATTTTAGCTATTTATTTCTGTAGCTTCCTCAAAAAGCCTTGTTGTGCAATATGTAATAGTTAAAACTTGAACTGTAGTTTTGCACCATAAGATACATTTAGCCATGTCTGTGTATTTGCTGAAAAAAAAAAAAGGAAGACAAAGTTCCTGTATTTGAGTTCTAACTTTCATCTAATTTGGGCAAATGTAATGCATGCACAGTATTTAAGTACAGCTAGTTTAAGCTGCTGTTCTTATTTAACCAAAGAATGCTCCATTTATGATGAATTTTTCATCACTTAAGTGGATGAAATGCACTATGTCTTGTTTCTGGATGCATATTATTACAACCGGCAATGTATTTTGACTTCTAAAGATATTGAATGTTGTTAACATCTGTCAAGCACAAAATGCAAATAAAATGAATTTCAGAGGTGAAACTGCAGTCAGAACATTTATGTTAAGTCTTCAGTACAAGTGCTACCCTGAGTAACTGACCTTTTGCTGATGGCCATTATAATTGCTATCTGATTAGAACACCTTTGTTTTTTTCTGTTTTCTTGAACAAAGCTTTTTTTTATTCTATTTTCTTGAACAACGCTGATTTCTTTATTTCTTTCAAGGGGCTTTTGGTAACTAAGGCTCTGATCTGCCTTAGTGTAGCCTCACTTTTCTCTAGGGCAGAAAAGTCTAGCCAAGCACCTTTTATCTTTCTTTTCGTCTTCTTGTTTCTATCGGCTTTGCTTTCAAGGTAACAGTTAATTGTCGTTCTTAGTAAAGTTTGCTATTCCTTTCTGCACATGGAGATTGAGCACTCACCTAGCAGGTGTGCATTAATAGTGTTTTTTAGAAGTTTCCTCAGTGCTATTTCTCCCCTTACAAGCCTTGCTCTTGTGCGTTCCTGTTACACCTTGTTTTTTACTGCCTGCTTTCCTCTGGCAGTTTTTCTCATGCTAAGATAATTAATTTACCTTCTCTTTTTTTTTTTTTTCTTTCCTGACATCTCCTTTTAACAAAATTTGAGCTTTCCCTCCACAATTCCTGCTTTTATCCAAAAAGGTTATAGGAAGCAGTCTGTGTTTCCTATTTGTGCTGTACAATCTTTGTCTTGTCCTTCACTTCATTCTCTGTGCAGATTGCAGCAATACTGTTTCTTAACCTGTAAAAACATAACCAACACCATTTTCCTAGTGTGAGTGTCTCCATGTTCTTAAAGGAACATTTCCTACAGCTCCTCTTTTCATCTTTACTGACTATAATGAACACTGGCCTTTCTCTAGTTTATTGCATTTCTGGAGTGATTTCTGTTTCCATACTGATGTTTATTCTGCTTTCACGAAGTGTTTTTTCACTTCCTTTCCAAAATATTCTCATTTGAGCTACATTTTTTGGACTCCCTAAAAATACCATCACTTTTCATGATCGGCTTTTTACCAAATACTGAATTCTTGTTTATGCTGAATTCTCTGTCCCTTGTTGTCCTTAAACAATGTTTACCTTTTACCTGCCTCTATTTTAGCTCTAACTCCATTTATCATCTCCCATCTAACATTCTCAGCTTGTCTGTTGCCTTATCCTCTTTCCCATACATTTTTTCTTAACTCTACTTTTACTGTGATTTTTTTTTCTTCCCCTCAGCTTCTAATTCCTGCTTCGCAGCTCCTTACACACTACTTTTTCCCTGTTTCACAAATCTCAGTCTTGGCTGACTTCTTGATTTTGCTACTTCAGTCTTGTTCTCACAGTGCTCACTGCTTTTGGATAGAGTCCTAAAACTATATTGCCAAGTATTTTAGGATAATGCTAAAGAGTTACTGTAAAGAGTAATTTAGCAGATTTTTTTTTTTAATTTCTTTAAACAGATCAGGACTTTGGACACATTGGCCTTGTTGTCAATAGGGAATAGAACATTTCTGCTGCTGAGAAGTTAACCAAGCTCAAGGCTTTTGTAAGACGGAGGCCACTCACACCTTCTTCAGAAAGTGCCCAAACCCTACTAGAATGAGTCGGCACCAGCAGCCACATCATATCGTCGTGATTAGGAAGAAAATTTTGACAATATATTTAACAGTATAAGATCACATGGTGACTGCTGAGTTTTTAAAGGGAAATTATGTTTGGCACCTTTCGGAAAGGACTGGTGAGAACAAGAGGCAGCCTCTACAAGCTAGAGTCTTTTGTGCAAAAAGATAGTCTTTAATTAATGCTTATGCAAGAGGTATATG